AGCCCTATCTCAAAAAGTTAAAAAAGAAAAAAAACAAAAAAAGGGGGCTGGGAGGTAGGGTAACAAATGGCTAAGTGGTAGAGCCTTTGCCTGGAATGTACAAAGTCCTGGGGTCAGTCCCCAGCAACACACACACACACACACACACACACACACACACACACACACACACACAGGGTCACCAGACACACACACACACACACACACACACACACACACACACACACACACACACACACATGTGAGTTAAAATAAATAGACAAAACAAAATAGAAAGTGACTTCGGGAGAGAGGAAAGCACACCCGAAAGCTTGGGTGTGGCCTTCTCAAAGAAGAGCCATGCAGTGTGGTCTGCTGTTGCTGTACATGATTCTGGAAGCTTAGGAAGTTTGTTACTCAGCCAGTCTCTAAGGTGCCTTCTCCTCCTCCATCTCTGTCCTCATTTCCTTAACTGAGATTATGGGTGATTCCAGAGGTGCTGTCTGTGGAATACATTCATAACAAAACAGAAGCTTTGGGGTTGCACAAGGTGAGATTCCTATAACTAGGATAAAAGGCCTCAATCAAGGGTGACTGCCTACCGCTGTTGGAATTCTTGGCTCTTTTAGCTGGATAGAAGTTTCAACTAGACTCCAAGGGGAGGGTGCTCCTTGCCTCTACCAAGTCCCCATCATTTCCCACCTTTTCCTCTTGCCTTGAATACCCCTTGGAATACAGTTTGAGTTTTGGAAAAACAAAAACAATCAAACAAAAGAGCCCTTGTGCCAGGATCACAGCCCCAGGAACTGAAGAACTTGTTTGGTTTGGTGACTTCTCAGATGCATCCAAGGTTCATAACCAATAACTAGGGTGTGGCTCCTCCATTTTCATGTGTAAGCAAACGGCCAAAGAATCCTGTTGAGAAATTAACTGGGGCTGCTAGGTGGGGCTCATCCAGCCTTCAGCATTGTCTCAGGCCAGGACCTCGGTCACTCCAATCACCAGCAGGATTCGAAAGCTTGCTGCAAACTGGATGAGGCTTTATTATAGTTGTTTAACGAGCTAACCCCATGTTAGCTCGGGTCTTTCACCCACCCGCCATGGCAGATGGCTAGCAAAGAGAGCTCGAAGGGGCTGCATAGAGATCTTGTAGGGCAGCGTAAGGGGAGTGTCTAGGGGTACGCACAGGCTCAGGATTGGTGTGCCTCCAGGCTTGGAGGGCTTGCCATGTGTTGATTGGTCAACTGTTTGTTAGGGCCCATAGGCCCTCCCAGGGGGGTTGCCATGCTCTGCGTGTCATTGCTGTGCGCTTGTCCATAAAGCACACCCAGAGCTGTAAAGCATAGCGCCACCAGCTAACTTCTGATTGGTCCCTTGCCACGAGGCGGGGATCTGACCTCCTAGTGACCAAGGCAAGGTCAGAAAAGCATGTGTTACGGTCATGGCTGCCGAAAGGGGCAGGCATCTGACCTTAGTGACTAAGACAAGGTCATGGCAAGCACGTGTTACTGTCATAGCTGCCGAAATGGGTAGCTGGTCCCTTCACACAGCCCCAAGCAGAACTTTTGTTCATCGGGAGAGTGCTACCTAGCATGTGTAAGACTGTGTGTTCCTTCTCAACACTGTCTCTCTCTCTCTAAACAAACAGAGGTACTAATTTTGAAAAACTACTGTATGAGGTGGAAGATTGAAAACCTGAGACAAATCTGGTCAGCGGTGGCGCACGCCTTTAACCCTGGCACTCAGGAGGCAGAGGCAGAGGCAGAGTTGGAGCCTAGCCTGGTCTACAGAGCGAGTTCCAGCCAGTCACAGCTACACAGAAAAACCTTGTCTTTGAAAAAAACAACAAAACAAAATAAAAAATGGTGAGAAAGACAAACCAAACATATTTTTTAAAAAGTAGTTAGCGGCCAGGCATGGTGGTGCATGCCTATTTAACGCCTGCACTTAAGAGGCAGAGGCAGGAGGATTTCTGTGAGTTTGAGGCTGGCTAGGCTGGTCAGCACAGCAAGCTCCAGAACAGCCAGGACTGCATAGCGAGACCCTGTCTCAAAAGAAAGGAGGAACACAAACAGTAGTTAGGTTGACTTTGGGCTTTGATTATTTTGCTATGTAATTGGTGGGTGG